ATTTTTAATTTCAAAAAGACTCAGAGGGGGTGCGTGAGAAAACAGTTTATATGTATNNGTTGTCACACCCCTTTTCTACCCCTCAAAATAATAATAATATGTGTATGGGCCAAAGAGTTTTTCCAATTAAAGTGACAAAATTTGAATAGGGATTATTTTATTGTTCAGAGTCGCCACTTAGAATTGATTTTTTCGGTGTTCCAAGTCACCATTTATTTGGATCCCTAGTCAAAGGAAGGTTTGACTCTATTTTAATCGGTCCGCGAAAACAAAGTTCGGGTAAGGAATTCTGTTGACCGGGGAGAAGGTATAAGGCATTCCCCGAGTCCCGTGGTTCTAGTACGGTCACTTTATTGACTTAAACTTGGCTTGAATTAATTTTGGATAAACTGTGATTTATATTATTTTCATGTTTTACCTATCCTCTTTTATCTCTTGATTATTAGAAAAAATTAAAGAATATTTTTGAATAATAAGATGTCATAACTACACTACGCAAGCGAATGCGTGATCGATGAAATTTATTATTTAGTCATAATGGTGCTATGCAAGCGAATCCGCAGTCATGACAGACGATTGTTAGCACGTTATTTACCTTTGAAAAATTGCTGCAATTTTGTTGGAGGAAACATTAACCCTCTTTTTTCAGAAAATTTATTAAATGTCACTACCACGCTACGCAAGTGAATCCGTGATTATGACAAAAGATTTATAAATTAATTAAAACTATTGAATATGACATGAAATTGATGAATTAACTTATTAAAAGTTAAGCGTCACGCTACACAAGTGAGTCCGTGAAGTTAAAGCGCACCTACTATTTGCCTAACATTTAAATTAATTAAAGGGAAACTAGTTAATTAAAATAGTAGAAAAATCTGATATTATTATTATTTTTTCGAGCTTTATAGTTGGGAAAAATTATGCAAATAAATGTTGGACCAACTTTATCTATTTTAAAAGAAATTAACCAACTTCTTGTTAAAAAAAAAATGGGTCAGCTTTTATAGAGCTTTTGGGCTGCTGGAATTTATTATTAAAATGGGCCAAGAAATGAATTTCAATTGGCCCAATGCTATATAGAAGAAAAGAGGTAATTTTGTTGTTTAAAGGTGTGCCAACTTTTATCTTTGATTCAATAAGGCCCAAAGTTGATACAATCTTAGCTCTTTACTTAGTTTTAGTTCATGACCATTAACTACATAGTCACAATTGTATAATCGTCCACTTTAAAAAAATAGTCATTTTTGTAAATCCGGCAAAATGGCCAGATTAACAAAGATATTATCACAACATTCCTAGAAGCATATGTTGGCAGTGAAATTTCAGCAACTAAAACGAACTCATGCTATGTGTTATACACCTAAAGTCATTCATGGCATACTTCGGATTGTTACTCGGATATAATAGCTTGAAAACATGCTTAAAAAATCCATAAACGACTTACATATCACATTCAAAAACTTACAACTCAATATTCAAGTATTATGAAGGACTATATTCACATTATCACATGCTTGATACATAACAATAACATACAAGCTCTTTTGTTGTCAAACTATTCATCACATCAAACACATTTAAATGGTGCAACATGTTCAAGTTGTTCCCATTGCTGAAAATACGTACATTACGAGTCTTAAAGGATTACCTAGTAGCAAAAGAATAAACAGTAGTTCAGCAACTAAAGCAGCATAAAAATAGCAGCAAAACAGCAGCAAATCCGTGTTAAAACAACCCGAAAACTTAGAGAGGGAACGCAGAAACGAACTCTAAAGAGGACTTATACTTTTTTAAAAGTTTGCACTCTAAGATTCACTCCCAAAGCTCACTATTTCAGCTTACTTTTCATGTGTTCAACTGCTGATTTTGTTTTTGTTTTTGTGACAAAGCAATTATAAAAAATTCCCCCTGGAAGTGTGATGGAGTCCCCCCAAAGTGAGGAAAGGGCAGCCCTTAAATAGGCAAATCTGGACAGATTTTGATTCACCAAATGTCTGTCCGACAAAAACTGACATTGTGTGCTAAACACTGTTCAAAATTTGTCCAAAGGTCAAAGGAAATCTACTATGTCAGAAATAAAGAGAAAAAGAAAATATCTTTTCATCCACCCTAACTAGTAAAAGTAGGCTACTAGCACCCTATTTTGTGATAAAATAACATAAACTTCAGATTTTAACAACATCAATATCACCTTGTTGATTCAAACTAAATCAAGTATTAAAATATGTAATTAAACTTCACACATGTGTTATGAACCAATCGTAAGCAAACAAAAATTAACTATTAAAGCCAAACGAAATGCACGCTATCGCTGGAGTGATTTAATAAAACAACTAGACAAACATAATCAAAAATGGATTAAATGAAGAAACAAGATAGAAACTAACTTTAACTAAAAAAAATCAAAAAATTTAATAACGGGGCAGGATTACGATTTTACCATATACTCTCAAGCATTTCCTCACTACCTCACTTTAATCAACACAAAGCTATTTTACTACTTCAACAAATGCAAAAACAGAAAATTTAACATTCCAAAACTTCAAAAACTAATGCTAAAATAATTAATAATAAAAAATAAAATCTGAAAAATAAAAATAAAAATAAAAAATCAGCCATGAAAAAGAATAGGACTTTACCATTTTACAATTCAAGTGGCCGAAAAAATGGTGGTATGCCAAAAAAAGGTGTTCGGGGAGGTCGCCGAAATTTGGCCGGATTTTGGTCGCCGGATTTTCAGGGTGAAATTGACATCAATAGCTAGGTCTTGAGGAGCTCTATCCATTGATGTAGGTATTGTGGGGTGGTAGTGGTTGGAGCTTCAATAATTTGGGCAAATAATGACGGGAAAGTTTCTTAAAGCTAAGATTCAAGGAGTTTGAAGGATTTTTGAAGGATTTAGTTTGGAGATATAGAAAGAGAAAGTTGTGGAGATTACATGGTGTGAATTTGGAGGTGTTTGGAGGTGGTCCACCGGCGGCGGCGATTTTCGGCCGGTGGCGGTGGGGCGGCGACAACGGCTTGGGGGGAGAGAGAAGAGAAAGTGATGAGAGGAAAGAAGAGAGAGGAAATAATGGGGAAATGGGGGCAAATTTTTGGGGATTTTAGGCTTTAAATACCAAGGATGAAGATCAAACTAGGACCGTTGGATTAAATCAAGATGGGTGGATGAGATTGAATCTTGTTACTTAACCAAAACGACGTAGTTTCAAGACAAAACTACGTCGTTTGAAGCTCTTCTTGGCAGCCCCCTTTTGGACCGGATTTGGGCTCTTTGGGCTCAAATTTTGGGCCAATTTTGGCACAATTTTAATTAAATTACACTAGCCCAAACCCTACCCCATTTATCAAACTATTACTTAACTCTTAAAACCTATGCATACACAAATAAGAACAAACACACACACACACACACACACATACATACATATATATATAAGGCGAAAATTAGGCATTTAGAAGTACTCTATTGGAAATAAGCTTCCTGAAGAAGCTTATCATTTCGGTACTCCGTTATGGATAAACATTAGGGGGAAGTGCATAGTTAGCCACTAATAAGACATGTATTTACTTTTAAGTCACTGTTTAAAATGTCTTTAGTTTTTCGTCACTGCTTTAATAAACTTTACCCGCCCGAACGAAAATACTCTTATGCTCATAAAGTCCATGACCAAGTCTCCTTGACTTATGAGCTCGTTACTATATGTTCAGGACTGATTGTCCTTAATTTATGAGCTTGTAAGTCTAAGTTTAAGACTACTTGTCCTTAATTTTTGAACTTGTAACTCTAAATTCAGGACTACATGTCCTTAACTTTTGAACTTGAAACTCGAAGTTCAGGACTACCTGTCCTTAATTTTTGTGCTTGTAACTCTAAGTTAAGGACTATCTATCCTTAATTTCTGTACTTGTAGCTCTAAATTAAGGATTAACTATCCTTAATTTTTGAATTTCCAATTCTAAGTTTAGGACAAGTGTCCTTAACTTATGAGCTTGTTATTGTAAGTTCAGGACTAGCTGTCCTTAATTTATGAGCTTGTAAGTCTAAGTTAAGGATTATATGTCCTTAGTTTTTGAGCTTATAACTCTAAATTCAGGACTACATGTCCTTAACTTTTGAACTTCTAACTCTAAGTTCAGGACTAACTGTCCTTAATTTCTGTGCTTGTAACTCTAAGTTAAAGACCAGAAGTTCTTAATTTTTGAACTTCAAACTATTAAGTGGCAGCAAAATATCTACTTTGCTTAGAGAGTGCAGTTTATGCCCGGTCAACCATCTTTATCTGAATTGTTTCTCCATGTTTACAAGCTCTAGGTAATATTGAGTTAATGCAACTGATGAAATACTGTCTCCCACAAGCAGCTCCATTGTCCCAAATCCCTTCCCCATCTGCTGCAAAGAAGTTGCTTGAAGGAAACTGTGTTGCATCACTTCTTTAACATTCAGTAGCTGTTTAAGTAATCATTTTTTTCTGTAATAAATTCAGAAAGCAAATCATCACAACTGTTTATGGGTGTGATGGGTGCGTGCCTCTATTTGGTGGAAGTGAAGAATGATTGTCACCGTAACTTGCAGTTTGTTCAAAATCATCTTGACTTTTGAACAGTGTAGCCCACCTTTGCGAATGATAACATGTCTCTGCATTGAACTTGAGAGAGAAGCGAGGGTTTGGGAAGAAAAGCAATGGAACAAAGGGTAAAAATATCTTTTTATATTAATTTTAATAGAGTAGTGGCTATTTTTGCTCAACATTAAAATTACTGGATAAAAATTAAATACCACCTTAAATGATGGTTACCCAATGCTATTTTTACTAAATATTACCCCCGACAGAAGATTATCTATATCTGGTATAGTAGCAACTTATAAGCAACTTACAAGAAGCTTACACAGCAGCAGCTTACAAGCAACTTGCAGTGCTTACAAACAGCTTACACAGTAGCTTGCAGTAGCAGCTTACACAGCAACTTGCTGTAGCAGCTTACACATCAGCTTCCTTTCTTCTATAAATAGAGGAAATTTCAGTTCATTATGTACATGAATTTAAAGTTGAATAATAAATGTCTCTCTCTACTTGTCTTCGGTTTCTTTACTTTAACGTCTTTATTTTATAACACGTTATCAGCACAATACTCTAACATCTTGAGCACTTTATTTGAGTTTAATTTCTAGTGCATAAGTAATTCACACAACAGAGAAGGCGAGAAAAGCATTGGCTATTGTCAGGTAGTATCATTCCTTTGTACTCACTCATGTTTCCTACGGAGTAGCTAGCTAAGTTTATAATCTGCATATATGCATGTAAGAAGGTCGTTAGATAACCATCTGGTCATTTGTACTGTAATTATCACATATGCTCTTGAACAACTTATAAATTTTAAAATACTGTAATTTGTATACCTTTATATTCTGTTTTACACTTTTGTGATTTTGAATTAAGGTTCTAATTTTACTCATGAAGAGTAATATCACAGAGGGAGTTATAAAGTGGATAATATTGTTAGATCCACTTAAACTCCAGCAGAGTTTGCAAGAAATATACAACTACCAGAAGTGGTTATATTTTGTATATCTCATTGTAACTAAATTTTGTTAACCACCAGAAGTGGTATATGCTTATGACCACCAGAAGTGATAATTTAGGCTTTCTATGGTTACAATTGAAGATAAACTATATAAATATTCTCTATAATAAATGCACGCCTCGATTTACTCCTAAAGTAGTAAATATTTTAAAAGAGGTTGAAGCATCACAATTTGATGTGATTAATGCGCGTTCAGATAATTATATTTCGTTCTCTAAAGGATGAGAACTTTTGATAAATATTAATCCATTCCCTCAAGTGAATGTGACAATATTCATAAAGCTCATAAATATGAACGCGCTTTTGATATGAATATATTATAATTCACCTCCAGAAGAGGTAATATGATTGATGGAATATATACTCAATATTTCATATTTTAAATTTGCTCCTGAAGAAGTAACACAATTGAAATTTTCTCCTAAAGCAGGAAAATATTATGAAACTGTGTCTTTCTGTGCTTAAACAAAATAATAAGCTATTCAAAGTTATTTTTGAAGCACATTTTCATTCCCTGAAGTGAATGAAGAAATACCACAATTCACCTCCTGAAGAGGTAGAATAACAAAGGATATAAATCTTGTTTTTGTGGCATAAAGATCATTGTCGCACGTACCCATTGTGCGTAAAATATCTTGAAATTTTTTATTAAATATCATTCCAAGGCAAAAGTATTCTTGTAGAATGCTTTCTACTACAACCACATTAATATATTATGATTAGTTATCGAGTTCCCCAAAATAACAACTCATGTATTATTCCCTGAAGGATGTAATGACTGTGGTTACCGATTTGATATAAAATATTCAGATGTTAATGGCATTTCTCCCTGAAGGAGATATTTGTCACAAAGTTGGTGGTAAAAATATTAAAATTCTTAGTTTCTTACATTTATAAATTTAGAGTTGTCCTTATATTGTCAATTTGATTATGATTTTCTCTCATGACACCAGAAGTGTCTGAGCACTATTTAGTAGTACAAATTTTTCAAAAGCTCCTGAAGAGTTAACTGTTTGTCTAAAAGACACATGATATAAGCAGTGTCTGAATAATATTTGATTGTGAAAAATAAATTGAATGCTCCCGAAGAGCTTATATGTAAATTTGTCATTCATATTATATGATTGTGGTAAAAAAATATGTTGTAGTAAACCCGAAGTTTACTAATACAAATGACAATCATACTGAGACTACAAATGATTGAAAAATTGAAATCTTCATGTTTTCACAATCATAGGGGGTAAATATGTACGTGAGAAGTTACCCCTTATTTTTCAATTTGTACTACATCATGTATCATAGTAAATCAAAAATCTACTTATACAAAAGTAGCCACAGTAAATCAAAAGTTTACTAATGCAAAAGAAGATACAGTAATCAAAAATTTACTTATACAAAAGTAGCCACAGTAAATCAGAAGTTTACTAATGCAAAAGTAGCTACAGTAAATAAATTTACTTATACGAAAGTAGCCACAGTAAATCAGAAGTTTACTAATGCAAAAGCAGCTATAGTAAATGAGAAATTTACTTATACAAAAATAGCCACAGTAAACCAGAAGTTTACTAATGCAAAAGTTTGTGCCATAGTAAACCAGAAGTTTACTAAGAGATAGCGCATGCCATGATAAACTTGAAGTTTTCATTTGCCATTTTTAAATGAGCTATTTGAGAATTCAGATAAGCATATACTGAACTAGAAGATTCTTCAATAATTCTCTTGTGTTGTTTGTTCTCATAATAAATTGATTATACCAGCTAAAGTTGGGACTAAGACCCCTGATTCTGAAATATATAAAAGGTGAATATGGGCTCATTCACCTGTCATGTGAACCACTTATAGATGCATATATAAGATGGTTACATGTATGTTTATTGTCAACCTGCAGTTGGCATTTGAGATTGCTTTTCTCAATTAAGAGCATAACTTTCAGATTATGAAATCAAGATAGTTCATCTTGATAATGTTGCTTTATATCCAAGTTGGTTTAACATTGAATACCTCCTACTAATAGCTAAATCGTTGCTTATGAGAACAAAGATTCATGTGTTGGTCTAAGATTTTCTAAATTGCATATAGTAGCACTTGTATGCA